ATAATATTTATAATAAAGATGAAATAGAAATTAGTAAGTTGAATAATGAACTTAAAAATGATTTACTAGTAAAAGATTTAGAATTTAATGAATATGATAAAAAAGAATTAATAAATTATGAAAATATTTAGAATTAATTTTTTTTAAAATTTTTTTTATATTGAATTTTATATATATTAAATAAATAAATATTTTAATTCAGGTATTATACTCCTTAGTATAATATATTTTTTTAAAAATAAAAATTTAAGATTTTGGTTTTTTATATCTAGGTATAATATATTTTTTGTTTCTAAAAATATCAGGAGGATATAATACTTAAGGGTATTTTAGTCAACCCTTTACGTAATTATTTTACTTTACTTAAATTCAGAAAGTTCTCAAATATTAAATATTTTAAAAAAAATTATATTTGAATACAAGAAGTTCGTAGTTATGTAGAAATAAAAATTGACTCATTTTTATACATTAAATCACAAGTTATAACTGGTAAAATTATGCAAATTAGTATAATAAAAATCATGTGATCTAATACTTTTTGATTGAAAAGTATATAAGCTATTAATAAGTATTATATTTAGGAATTAAGTGATAGAAAATCTGAATATTTACATATATTATGTATTTTTATAGATAGTTACATCATCATTAAATATTTAATTCACCCTTTATCATCAATATATTTTTGCAACAATTCATAAGTATCAAAATACCTGTATCTTTTGATAACTTTGAACAGTTTGCAAAAGATATTATTTACTTGATGAATTAGCAGGTAAGAATCAAAAATGTATACTGTAACCGGGTGATGATCTTAACGATCATAGATCAACAATTGTGTGGCGAAGTACAAATGTCGATAATGTCAAATATATTTAACATGTTTAACATGTTTAATATAACTAATATGTCTAATATATCAGATATGTCTAACATAGTTAATATGTTTAACATAGTTAATATATTAGAAATGTCAATATATATAGTAAAAAAGATATAAATATAAACCCTTTGTAAGCTAGAGAGACAGACAGCTGTATAGAAATCTCCCCTTTTATAAAAGATAGCGCAACGCTACTCTTTGTGTATTTTTGTTAGCCGACGTAGATAACCAATCCTGAAGGCCTATTGACGTAGGTAACCAATCCAGAAGATAGTATTTTAAGAGGCAATCAGGCCTGTCACATGACATTACAGTTTTAGAGGTAATTGGCTTCTTGCGATAGTTTTTTTTTTCTCTTTTATTATTTTACTCATGAATAAACATATTATTTTACCAATATAACTTACTTGCTATCTACTTAAATCACTACCTGACGTAACCATATAAATACTTTTGGCAAACTGTTTAAGTTAAAACTTGTAAACCATTAAAGAATTATTGCTCAATTAAAAAGAGTCAACCCTCTGACACTGCGTCTAACAGTTGCAATCTGAAAAGATTGCACGTTAATAATACTCATATTAAAATACTAATAGTAATTCACTTTTATTATTATAGATTGATATCTTATTTACAATTAAAGTAATAAATAAAATTAAAACTAAAAATAATTATATTTATATAACTCAAATAGAAAATATACTGATAAAAGCAAAGAAAGTGAAAAAAGAAAATCTAACTTTACCTTTATCTTCTAAATCTTCATGTTTCAGTAGATTACCTTTAGAATTATCACTATTGATTTAAAAGATATGAAAATAGGTTCTTTTTTACACATTTTTGTATAAGTGAGTATATATCAGAAAAATACTTATATTTTTATTTTTCAATTGATTTTTTTTTTGATAAATTATTCATGATTAGATAACATAATTAATCCATAAGTGAAATTTTTCTTAGTAGAAACTATTATCATTGGTAATGATCAAAGTTTTGATATTTTTTTTTGCATTTTTTTTCTAACTTTAAACATATAAGGTGAGTGCTAGAAAAAGGAACTAAATCATTAAAAAATTATTTTTTTAAATAATGAGAGTTCTAGATCAGATGAAATGATCAGATTTAATTTCACTTAAGAATAATTTTTTGAAAAAAATTTTGATTTGGTCTCTTTTCCCAACACTAATTCTATATGTATGAAAAGATAAGACAATATCAATGTAGATATAAATAAGAGTAGGGTAATAATAAAATAAATTAAAACTTTTTCACTATTAACTATTACGAGTTTGTTTTGAAATAACATTAAATATATAATTATTAAATGTTTTATAGATAAAATACTATTATTGCATCACATTACTATGCCTGTAATATATACAGGAGAGTATAAAAAGTACCGGTCACCTAACATAATATAAGTGAGACACGTATTATCACATCCATTCCAAATTAAACTACAGTTTTTTTATTTTAAGTTATATATGATTGTTATGTAAATGATCAAAATAAAAAAATTACCATTGTATAACATAAAGTTGGTCATATGATCATACGAAAACAAACTTTTTTTATTAGTGAAAAAAAATTTATCGTAAGGATGTATTGTGGAAAGAAACTTAGTAAGGGCCAAAAAGGAGCTATTATCACAGTTAAAAAATTAGGACACACAAATACTAGATTTTCGCAGTTGTAAATTGCTCTGTTTCTCTGTTCAACATGTTTGAGAGTTGTATAAGCTAAAAAGCCTTCTAAAGAAATGTTTGGGTTGATCACAAATTCTTAACAAAACTGAACGCAAATATCTCAAAATTTTGGTGATTAGGAATAAAAAAACCTATTATTAAACCCTTTCTCAAATACATTTAAATTTTATAAACAAAACAAACAAACACATTTTTATATAAACCATTTGAAATGAATTAACCAAAGAAATCTCTATTCCTGAATTTCTCATTTCAGTCCTTTAATTTTTGAAAGTAATAAAGAAAAATGTTATTTGTGAACCTGTACTTACAAAAATTAGACAGTAGAAGATTTTAAACGAGTTATCTGGTCAGATGATACACAATTTAGAACTTTAGATTTTAGACGAGTGTGATGCGAACTTTCTGAAGAATTTTATGAAGACTGCATTGCAGCCACAGTCCAAAAGAGCTTTGGTCGCATATTCTGGAATGTTTCTTTTGAATTAGCTTAGGTTCTTTAGTTTCCTTAGAAGATTGCTTTACTGGAATTACACACTGTGATGTTTTGGCTAATTATACCATTTTTACAGTCAAGTTTTATGTAAAAAAGGTCAAAAAAAGATTTTTTTTAAAAAGACAATGTGCTCGTGTATATTGCAAGAATTGTACATTTGTTCTTTACTTCTTCAAATGTTAAGGTGCTTTCCTGGTCAGCCTAAAGCCCTGATATCAATCCAATAAAAAATATATAGTCATATATTGAGGTCAAGATCTGTTAATGAGATTCTTAGCTATCAAATGTTAAGTAGTTAGAATAGTAGGTTAAAGAGGAGTGGGATGCAGTACCTATAAAATATTACCACAATTTGATCAAGTTAATACTACGTCAAGTTCAAGCTGTTCTTGCGGCTAATGGAAGATCAACAAAATATTAATCTGTATTTGATAAAAATAAAAAAAAAAATAAAGAATTATTAAGTTAGTTATTTCATAAAACGTTTTATAAAAGTGGTCAATACTTTTTATACCTCTTGCAGTGTTGTCATAAGACATTGATGGAACACTGATGATACTCTTATCTGATTACACTACTTTTCACCAATCTTTTATAGTCCAATTCTTATATTTTTGAGCAAATTTTTTTCATGCTTTTCTATGTCTCTTTAGCAGCAATGGTTTTTTTTTAACTCTAGCTATAAGACCTTGCCTTTTCAATAAGCGTTGAATAGTATTTGGTAAAATAACAATATTTTCGTTAGAAATTAAAGATTTTGAATTTGAATAGTATTTGTACATTCATCTGACTTAATAAGCCTGGCAATATTCCTATCATGACGTTCTGTAAGTATTCTTGGGCGGTTTAGTTTTAGAATAACATTAAAGCTGCCTGTTTCTTCTTTTCTTTGTTTAATTCTTATTATAAAAGCATGACTTATATTTTTGCGAGAAGCAATTATATGATTTGGTAAACCTTTTTGAATAAGAACAAAAATACATTCTCTTTGGTGAAGTGGAATTGCCTTTATAATATATTTTTAAAAAAAAAACAAAAGAAAGACGTACAAATTGATCTATTGATTTAAATTTAATTATATATATAAGACGCATCACACAATCATAACTTTATTATATTAATTTTGATTCCAAAAGTATTGTATCACGAAAAAATTGCATATAAAGAAATTTTTTAAAAAGCCACAAATTAAGTAATACTCAAATTTAAATATATTAAAAATCTGATTACAGGTTTAAAATTTTAGCCTTATAGTCACATAATTATTCAGGTATCACGATCTAAAAATTAAAAATGAAGTGGTACAATAATTATGGAAGTCACTGTATATATCAAGTATTTTATTAATATTACTATTTTTTATATAATTAAATATTAAAATAAATTAAATTAAAATAAGTGAAGGTATATAAAATTTTAAAATTAATCATTTTGTTTAAATATTATATCATATAAATTCATTTTATATCGATATTAAATCGAGTTATCATTAAATTAATAAGATAAAATAATCACACAATAATAAATTCTTTTTATAAGTACATTTTTTAAAAAAATTATTATTTGATAAAAAGTGATAATTAAATTGTTTATTCTAATTTTGATATTAAATTAGATGATAAAACCAATGTCTTTACCTATATAATGTAATAAAATTTAAAGAATTTCTTACTTTTTCTAATGAAAGCATTGTTTTAACATTCTCAAAGATAATGAAAAAAATACTGATGATTTAGAAATGGATGAAAAATACAATTGAAAATTTCATTAGACGGAAAAAAATTGCATAAACCAGTATTTCATATGCTTATCTTTCTAAAAATGCATAAAGATATTAAATGCGGATATAGCGGGGGGGGGGGGTTTTTTTTTTTTTTTATCGGAATATATTCAAAGAAAATATATTTGACAAATTATGTATTACAGTTATGCTCCAAAAATAATTTCTCAGCGCGTTCTACAATTATCCGGGAAAAATTTGTTTACTCGAAATAATTTTGTTCTAAGCAATATTAGTAAGAAGGTTCAGCTTAATTTACTACGTAATTTTGCTACTATAGAGAGCAATACTTCAGGAGCTGAAATTCCAGCGAAGAAACACGCACCAACAAAAGAAGTTAATTTTACGACAGATAAATACACATATCTACGTAGGAAAAATTTCAAGGAGGCATGCATCCTTTCGTAATTCAATTAAATTCAATAATTGTGTATAAGTGAAGACCTGAATTAATTTTTTTTTAAAATCATTAGCTTACTCAAGACGACATTAAATTTTTCACTTCAATTTTACCCGCTAATGGATTAATCATTGATAAGGAGGATGATTTGATGCCCTATAATATTGATTGGATGAGAAAATACAGAGGAAAGTCACGTCTAGTAGCAAGACCTAAAACTACACAGCAAGTTTCTCAAATACTTAAATATTGTAATGACAATAAGTTGGCTGTCGTACCGCAAGGTGGTAACACGGGACTTGTTGGTAAGCATATATAGTAAATATAGTTATATTATAACTCAGGCTGAGCATTAAATTTTCGAATTGTAGGTGGCGGAGTGCCAGTGTTTGATGAAATTATTATTAACACTAATAATTTGAATCAAATCAGAAGTTTTGATCCAATTTCAGGTGAGGATAGATAAGTTTGATAACTTTATGATTGGAAATTTATGTGTTAAACGCTCACACTTATAGGTGTTCTTACTTGTGATGCTGGATGCATTCTGGAGCTTCTTGATGGTTATTTGGCTGAACGAGGTTATATGATGCCACTAGATTTAGGTGCAAAGGGAAGGTGAATTACCCTTAAATTCCTATGTTAATAATTATCTTTCTCTTCAATTGAGCTCATTCATTAATTTATTTTATATAGTTGTCATATTGGTGGAAATGTGGCAACGAATGCTGGTGGATTGAGATTACTAAGATATGGATCGCTTCATGGCTCAGTCTTAGGACTGGAAGCGGTATTGCCGGATGGAACTATATTGGATAACTTATCTACACTTCGTAAAGACAACACAGGTCGTTTATCAAAGTTTTCAACAGAAGTTTTTTTTAAAAAAATATCCTTATCAGTTTATTTTATTATTAGGTTATGATATAAAACAACTATTTATTGGTAGCGAAGGAACACTTGGAATCATTACAGGTGTTTCCATATCTACTCCACGAAGGCCGAGAGTAAGCGAAATTTCGACATTAAATATATAATGTAAGTAAGATTAACGTTTTAATTGTTCTGATTTTTTAGGCTGTAAATGTTGCCGTCCTTGGATTTAATTCATTTCAAAATGTACAAAAAGCATTTCTTACATCAAAAGATGAATTATCTGAAATCCTGTCAGGTAGTATTTTATTAATTTCTTCATATATTAACTTTTGATCCAATTAATTTATATGATCTATGCTCTCTAATAATATAGCATTTGAATTTTGGGATATTAATGCCTTGAAATTGTTGAAAGCACATAATATCCATGGAAAAAAATTTCCATTGGAAGATAATTATCCGTTTTATGTATTAGTTGAAATAAGTGGATCAAATAAATCTCACGATGATGAAAAATTACAAAATTTCCTAGAAAAGCTTTTAACGAATGAAATAGTTACGAATGGAGTTGTAGCACAAGACGATACACAAATAACAAGTTTATGGTCATTACGTGAAGGTATTCCGGAAGCATGTAGTAAAGCTGGAGCTGTTTATAAATATGACATAAGTATGCCGGTACCAGTACTTTACCAAATGGTTAAAGATATTAGAATTAGATTGCAATCTGCTGGTGTGCTTGGAGAAGATAAATTGGTTAGCGATGTAATAGGTTATGGACATATTGGCGATGGTAAGATAAATTTTTCTTCGAGGAATATTGATTATGGAAGAGGTTTTAAAATTTATTAAAATTTTTTTTCCCTGATTTAGGAAATTTACATTTGAATATAGTAGCCAAGTCTTATGATCCTAAAGTTACTAATTTAATCGAACCTTATGTATATGAATGGACAGGTACATTATGATAATATTTATAATTGATAAGCATCATTTATGTAGCAATATTAACTTTTTCTTTAAAGAACAACACAAAGGATCCATATCAGCAGGTAATTGATCAATTAACTGTATATTTCTACTTACAACACATTATATAAACTAATATTTCAATTACAGAACATGGACTTGGGTTAATGAAAGCAGATTATTTAGGATATACAAAATCTCCTCCCATGATTTCTTTGATGAAACAGATTAAGCAAAGTATCGATCCCAATGGAATTATGAACCCTTATAAATTCTTACCAACACAGTAAATAATGATTTGAAGTTTGTAAGCTGTTTATACTTGAACGTTAATACTAACATTATAAGGAACGTTTTAATGGTTTCAATTACTAAATTAAATAAAAATACTATTCAAAAGTGGAAGGCGTTGGTTAGTGATTCTGTTTATCTGCTTTGTTACAAGTAAAGCAAAGCAAAAGATCAAGCGCACCAATAAATATAAATCTTATCGCTATATCGATTAAAAACATCGTGAAATCATTGAAACAAATGATTTGTATTCTTGATTATGCGCACTGGGCCTTGTCAAATTAGACGTTCATAAAATTTCAGATATTATTTTCTCGTTATATATTTATTTCGAATAATGTATTGAAAACTTGTAAAACTAACCTGAATCCATGCAAATTCAAAATAAAGCCCGAATTTGTGAGCGAAAGTTATTATAATACAGTTAATACAAAATGCATAGCGCGTGACAAAGGTGATGCATTAAATTATTATTAACTCTTGTACATAAAAACATATTTAACTCCTTGTTTATTACAGCAGTAAAAAAAAAAAAGATGTTAGAGATTAGGATAGAAAAATTAAAAACTAAGAAAGAACACTTATTAGCTAAGACAACGCACTTAAGGGTTGAGTGAAGAAATTGAAACGCTATTGGAGTTACCGAGGGAAAACAAAGTATTGCACGGTCAAGAATGATTCATAAAATTATCTAATTCTTGACCATGCAATATTTCTGTCCTCCCCCGGTAATTATTGAATATTTTAATATGATGAATCTAAATTTAATAAAGCACATCATAGTGTTCTTCTAACTTAATTTCCATATCTTCAATTGCAATATTTGAGATCCTTTTTTTGGTGTCCACCACGGACGATTTATTAGTCATTTTTGGGAAATGAGATTTCATGCTAGAATACTCTCTGACTGTGAATAAGGAGCGAATTTCATTTCTTAGCACTCTTTTACGGAAGTTAAATCCACTTGAGAGCCACCAAATTCAAATTTCGATTCCAATTTAAAATTGAGGCAAATTAGAAATTGACCAATTTAAAATTGGGGTAAATTGGAAACTGGTAACGCGGTGCCCCAAGTTGACCATCGCCCCAATTTAAAATATGGGCAAATAGGAAATTGAGTCATGAGGTGCCCAAGTTGCCTATTGCCTCAATTTAAAATTAGGGCAATAGACAACTTGGGACATCACAATTATTGTCAAAGATCAAAAACCACAATTAATCATCAAAATTTATACACGTGCCCCAGTTTGAAATTTCAAGTTGGACTGTGCAAATTATATATATTATTTGCCTTGTACCAAAAAAAAATTAAGTAAAATAGTATGCTTACACCGTCCAATTTTATTTCTTGCATATGTTGTGCCCAAGTTGAGATCTGTCCCGGGGCAGATCCATATACTGAGAATTGAAATTTCAATTTCGGGGGGTGGGTCTAAGCAACGAATTTGGAATGAGTAACTTAGCTTGATCTCATCATGAAAATCTGATCATATGTAAAGATCAATTAGTGGCCATATTATCATTTCATTAAAAGTTTTTATTCACCGAATTTATTGACGTTTAACTTGTAAAATGTTTCTAATGTTACAATGTTACTGCGCATTTAATGAACCATCAAAGTCATGTGAGTGTTGTGGAATTAATAAACGTTCGAGGGCACTTTTTATCAAAAACAACTTTTTCTTGACACTGACTTGATGTCATGTGGTAAACGTAAAGGCTCTTCAAATAAATTTGTTAGGATGCATCCCGTGTATTTTGAGTGATTTTTTTTAGGATAATCTCTTTTTTTATATATAATACTTTTTACTTAAGAATAATGTGTTTATTTTCTAAAAATATAAAATGAAAGTTTTTTATTTTATAATAATTCTTTAATAATGATAAAAAATAAAATTCATTTTTATTGGCTGATTAATTAAACTTATTGTTACACGTGATCCCAAATTTCTATTTATACGATAAAAAATCGCAAAATTTGACAATAGGAATGTCTGACCTAGAAGACGAAATTCTTGCACTCGCTGGTGACGTTAGCGAAAACTCAAAACGTTCTGAGCAAGCTTCTGAGCCGGAAGGGTCACAATCTGGATCAAGCGAAGAGAGTAGACGTATTTCTGGACAAAAAAGAAAGAGTAGAAGTTCGAGATCTCCTTCACCTGATGGTGAGGCTGGTAAAGACAAACGCCGAAGAGGTTCTCCTGGTGAATATGGTCCAGATTTGTATCGTGATAGAAGTGATAGAGAAAGGTTAGGTACCCTAAATGAACTTGCAAGAGAAAGGATCTTGGCGGACAGAGCAGAAAAGAAACAACACCACTTGGATCTACACGCCGTTCAACAATTATTTGATCCATTAGACGATAAATCTAAAAGATCCTCTCGTGCAAAGAATTCAAGTAAAAAGTCATTTAGTGAACTCAAACGTCGACGTGCTGAAAAGGAACAAAAAACAAAATCCGGTTCTCAAAGTCCCGAACTTGGAGAACATGTCTCATCATCAAATGATGAATATGAAGGTGGTGAAAAAGATAGCAATGATACTCAAGAAGTAAAGATTTATTCAAATTTTAAAATCAGAATCAAACTTTATTATTTTATAATTTATATATTTTTATAAACCATTATAAACATCAGGACGTTACATTACAAGAATTGAGAACTATCCAGGTATCTCGACATATGCTTGTCAATTGGATGTTTGCTCCATTTTTGGCAGATGCTGTAGTAGGATGTTTTGTTCGGTTGCATATCGGAGATAGGGAAGATAAACAAGTATATCGTTTGTGTGAGATTGAAGGCGTTGAAACTACAGAAAATAAGTACTATGTTGACAAGACTATTACAAATAAAGTTCTCCGACTTAGGCATGCGGATGCTACTAAATGTTGGCCTATGGATATTGTATCCAATCAATATGTTGATCAAGTAAGTATTTTCTTTTTAATTCGTACAAATATATCAACGATGTTTTCAATAATATTACAATAACTTTAGTCAGAATTTGAGCGTTGGTTAATTACTATGAAGTACCACAATTTGGAATTACCGTCGAAGGATCATATTTCGCGCAAACAAGAAGCTCTAAATACGGCTAAAGAATATATCCTCACTGAAAAAGATGTTGAAAATATTGTTCAACAAAAGAAAGCCCTACGTGGCGAAAAGAAGGAGTTGACGATTGAGAAATCAAATTTAACAACCCTCAAATATTTTGCAGAGGTTAGAGGAGATATTAAGGAAGCTAAGGAATTAGATACAAGGATACAAGAGATTAGTAAAGAACTTACCGAACGTGATCCAACAGAGGACGTTTGGGCGCGTATTAATGCTAGAAACAAAAAGCAAAATAAAGAGGATGCACGTGCGGCGGAACAGCGCAGAATAGAACTTGCCAAAGGAATCAAAAGATACGTTCCGCATGAGATCAAAAAAGAACCCAAGGTCAAGAATCCTAAAGGAGAAGAATTTAAAGACAATGAACAGACAAAGAGAATGTGTGAATTTAAAAAATTAATTTATATTTCCGACATTCCGCTCACATTAAAGAAAGATCCTTACTGGGATTATGATAGGGAAATTGAGAAAGTTGAAGCGGAATATTCCATTAAATACATGCAATTCCGTGAACGTATCGATTCCAATCGTTTTTCATCGTTCCGAGAACTTATGCAAAGTAATCCATCTGAACAAATGAGTCTTCTTTCCGCACATATGCTTTAACAGGTCAAACAAAGCTTAAATAAATATCAATAGTTGTGATGAATCAATCTAAAATTAGTTGCTATTGATGATAACAATCGGATAATAATATTCTAATAAGTAAACTATTAAAAGCAGCCAGCTGCAATTACCGTCTCATTCAAAAAGAAAGAAATTATGGTACGGAATCCTTCTAACAAAAATATCTCCGATGAAATGAAATTATTAAGCAGAGCCTTTCAAGGCAACTGGTCTAATCAGCAAGTAAAATTTATCACAATAATTTATTATGCTATTTTCTCAATAAATATAAAATAATGTAATAGATGTCAAGTTGGTAAGTATATAGGGTAAAGACATGTTGGATTCTCATCTTTTTGACGTGTTTATTCTTTTTTTACTACTGCCTTTCTTTCATTATTGCAAATAAAATACAAAATGCTTATTACTATTTATATATAATTTAGCAATCTGATTACATAATAAATATTTTCCCCTTTTTTTTTTCTTCATTTTCATTCCCTTTATTAAAATTCTTTAAAATTTGTTAGTTAAGCAACTTTTTTTTTAGTAAAAATATTAAATTTAATTACAAATTATTATTTAAGTTTCTTTTACTAATAAACATTTTTAAACCTATAGCTGATGAATTCAACAAAGTTTGATGAATCATGAAAAAAACGCATGTATGTATCTTTATCTGTATTTTGTGCCGATCAGGTGACATATAAGAGGGTCAAATTCACGCGTTTGTAATAGAATCCCCCCCTCCCCAACAATTTAAAATTAATTGGTGGTTTAGCACTTATTCAAACAAAAAAATTATTTTTCCTTGTTTCAACATTTAGTAATGTCAAAATATTTATATGATTCCGCATTACTTCACATTTCATTACCTACACTTTCCACAATAACGGATTATCATAAGGACTTGATAAAATCTTCAGTTAATCGAGTCTCGAATTTATTAACAATACTTATATCTTGTTCTGAAATAAATCGTTACGCAAGTGATCCTTTAGCTTGTTGGACTCGAGTTCATAACTTATTAAGTGCGTTATATGTCTTTGGAACAAAAGTAGCTTATGAGACTGATAAGCCCTTCCTTGATATTGATATAATATTTGATAAGTGGTGTGGATATCAAGTTGAATTAAGGCATTTTAATGTTTTATTTGGACCCATAACTGGTATAAATTTCTTAAGTTTTCTTATTTTCTTCGCGAACAACTTCGTTTTTTTTTTTTTTAATTAAAAAATAATATTCAAATTTGTCGTTTATATATAATAATAGAGAAGGAGCTTTTACAACAATTCAACGAAACTCGCAAGAATTCTTTATTGTCAAACTTACCGATACATATTCTCGAATCAAAAATAACTCCATCCTCAATCGATTTGATCGATTCTAATAAAACTCCTTTACAGCCTAGTAATCAAAAGATATTTGATCATGTTGCTGTCGGTGGAACATTCGATCATTTACACTCCGGGCATAAAATCCTTTTAACAATGGCAGCGTGGATAGCTGGAAAAAGGTTAATTTGCGGTGTTACTGGTAAGTTATTTACTTTGAAAATTTTTTTTTTTCATCCTAATTACACGGCATACATGAAACCTTTTTTTTTTTTTTTTTTTTGACAACTTAGATAATACTATGCTTGATAATAAAAAATTTAAAGAACAGTTAGAATCAATAGATACTCGTATTGCAAAAGTCAAACAATTCTTAGAATCAATTCGTCGGGGTTTGATTTATGAGGTGGTTCTCGAGATTAAATAATTAATTTAAACAATGCTTAATTCTTAAGCAATTCTTCCTTTTTTAATCATTTAGGTAATTCCAATTTATGATGCATATGGTCCAACCACAACAGATGCTGAAATTAAAGCCATAGTTATATCCAAAGAAACTATTAATGGAGCCCATTCCAGTACGTCTGAAAAAAGGGTTTTAATTTAATAAATCATGTAAGAGAAATATTCTCATACACTTTCTTTCTTTCTTTTCATGTAGTTAACAAAGAACGCGAAAAGAAAGGATTTCAACCACTGTACCTGGCAATAATTGAGGTTATTTCTTCTTCAAATCCTTCTCTTTCAGAAAATGAATTAAAAAATCTCAAGCTTAGTTCAACATATTTACGCGAATTACTCAATAAAAAATCAAATTAATTTATTTATTCATGAATTCATTTCGGTCATAATAAAAACAAAAGTTTTTATTGAAAATAGTGAAGATAGAAAAATAGGGATTGTCATTACTTAATTTTAAACATCGAGTTATCATCATTACGCCAAACAAACCACAGGAGAATGATCTTACAAAATTTGTGCTCTAAAATGGCGCTGTAATTTATTGGCTTTCACACCAATACGCGTATCATAAACTTGTTGATATTGTTTCTCACGTAAGGAGACATAACGAGGTTGATAATTTTTATATACATTATCCCTAGTGATCAAAAGTCTCCCAGATTGTCTCGTATATTCTGAATTACCACTATATTCAGTGATAAGACGATTTATAATTGAAGCATCTCGTTCCTATTAAATAATAGGCATTATAAGAAGTCTTATAAGAAAAAAAAGAAAATGAAGCATTATTTTTTAAAAGAATTACCTCAATAGGACGCAAGTTTTGTCTGTAATACTTCTGCAAAGATCGATGACCAAGTCTTTTACCACATGGCAATACTAATTCCATATCTTCTTCATATACCATACTACTAAAAGAATATTTTATAAATTAATACAAATATATATATATATATTTTGGTTCGAATTAATTTTATTTACCTTTGAGGAAGTAGTTCTTCCTCTTCTTCTTCGTCATCATCATCAATCACTACCCAATTATCATCACCATCATCATCAGGATAACTAGTAGTAAAATCATAAAAATCGACAAGTTCCATAATATCTTCATCAGTTTCATAAGCTATCTTACAATGACCTTTATCGATCTAAAAGGAACATATTTCATTTTTTTTTAAACACTTAACAAAATTTTTTGCGTGTATATAAACAAAAAGGAAGTAAAATGGAATCATACCATGTGACGCCTAACAGCTTCAAGACTTTTCATTCCTTTTCCTCGTCCATTACAGTATAAACAAACATTTCCAACAGAAATTTTTTCACCCAAGTATTTAATTAATCCGTGAATATCAATTAAGTACTCTATTTCCGGTATGAAAAAACTATGAATTTTTGTCATATGTTGTACATTTTCATCAAATGATTCGAATCTTTGTGTGCAAAACAGGCAGTCCCCCTCCTCTAATGCTATTGCAACTTCAATCTTTTTGTCAATAATTGAATTAATATCACTCTACAAAAAAGTTTTTTTTTAAAAAAATTGAGTTTAGGAAATTATAAATAAAATTTCTAAATCAAAGGAATATGTAAATAGATAATTTTACTTCATTCTGTATTTGCAGCGTTCCTTCGGCACTAGGTTTTGAATGAATAATTATATTTTTTTTCGGATTTGTTCCTATATATAAATAATAATTATCATCATAAATGAAAGAATTAAATATAATTAATGCTTAAATAATTATTTATCACAATAAGCACCTTCCAGGACAACCTTTGCCTCAGCAGCTTTATGTTTATTAGATTGTAAATGATTTGCGTAAGCATTCTCTGAATAATAAATTTTGCTATAAAGATATAAGCAAAAAGTTAATCAATCTGATGAAAGAGATAAAAAAAAATACAAAAGAATTATTCTTACTTGCAAGCGGTGCATTCCGCGGAAAAGCTAGCTTTTCTGTCGGCATCTTTACTTTGCGCTTGTTGGGCTAGATAATAATATTTTTGTTTTTTTTTAACGTCAACCTCTGGTCAACTGCGAGCAAGCCTCAAGATATCAATACTCACCCAAAACCTTTTGAGCAAAAACTTCGGATGTAACAGACGGTAAGTCGGCAACTTTTCTTTTCAAATTGTAGCGGTGCCAATCAGTTCCATAGTGAGTTCTTTGAGCTTCAGCCGTATTGAACGCAACTTGACAAGCCAAACAAGTAAAAATTTGAGAACGAGGTTGGTTAACTGTAGTAGCAGACATTTTAAGTTATTTCGATTTAAAAGCAAGACAAGTATGCAAAAGTTATAAAGGATTCGACAGAATTTTGTAAAAAGAAATCTTTTGACTAAGCAAAATCTTTTTTGGATTTTCAAATTCAACTATCAATGACTCAAATGCCGATCAATTCTGACGTTTGGTGAACTTGCCTAAGTCCCATCAAAGTCTTAGTTTTTTTATGATCTTTTTGCCAAAATATTTTAAAATTATTCATTTAAAAAAGAAGCAACGATAACAAAATGTAATTTGTATTGAATAAATTAAAAAAACGATTTACAAAAGCAACCGAAGAAGCGACAAAGCAAAGAGAGAAATTTACATCATCGATGATAAAACTTGGATCATTTACGTTTTCAGCATTTCCGAGCACTATTAAACTTTTTAAACTTTTTACAAGTCGAAAAAGAAAAGCTCACGTGAATCCTCGATTTTCCCAAAATTTGTGTAATCACGTAATTTATGACCCTCCGGACTAATGAAAAATTACAAATTAGCAAGTTATTCCTGTTCTCGTGATTGAATCTTTTGATAACAAAATGTCCACATTTAATTCTTCGTCAACTTTACTTATAGAAGGACCTAAATTTCCTTCTTATAATTTTATTTCATCGTCAACAAATCAATTTAAAATAAATAATCAAGCAATTTATTTATATCATTCAAATGATTTGAAAATCAATGATGTTGTTAATAATGATCATACAATTAAGACTGCTTATAGCGTTTGGGATGCTGTATGTGAAATTTTTTTTTTCCTTAACTTTTAATTTTTCTTTAATATGATTTAATCAATTAATCTTTTTTATTTTTCCTTCTTTGGGTTTATTATAATTTACAAGAGTTTGATTCTATCGAAATTTCTTGAAAAACAATGTAATGAAAATAAATTGAATTTTAAAGGGAAAAAAGTTATTGAAGTGGTAAATTTCAATCATTCATATACCTAATTCATTCATTTTTATTTTTATTTAAATTTTTCTAATCAACTTTTGTCATTATCCTTTAAGGGTGCGGGTAAATCTATACCATCAATTGCATCATATATTTTAGGAGCAAGTTTGGTAACTATAACGGATGTACCAAGTGTTGTTCCCGAAATTGAAAAAATTATAACATTAAATGGATTCGAAAATAAAAATGTCTTTGCTAAACCACTAGATTGGATAAATAGGTTGGAGTTAATTTATTTTGAAATCATTTGAAGTACGAAATTTTTAGAAAACTTTTTTTATTTTAGGAAAGAACATATTCCAATTTTGATCAATGAAGGTCCATGGGACTATATCTTGGCTGCTGATGTAGTTTGGGTAGATTATTTAATTGAGCCTTTAATTGATACTATTAGTGGTAAATTAAAGTCTCTGAAATTATGTTCTTTACGCAATTTTTTTTTTTTTTTTTTTTTTTTTAAAAAAAATGAATTTTTTGAAACGTATAGAATTATCAACTCCATCTCACACAACACTTTTTCTTTGTCATCAAACACGAACAACAAGATCTGATAAATTATTGTTTGATGCTATAGAAAATCATGGTTGGAAAATTCATAAGGTTTCAATGAATGAATTAAATTTGGCGGAAGAATTTCGGAAAGATAATGTTGAAATATATCGAGGACAAAAGATTCTTTCATAAATTAAGCATTTAATGTGTATTTTTTTCTTTGGAAATAAATTGCAACTTTAAAAGAACAAATCATCTATTTCTATGGGTTCCCAGTACGAGCATTTCCGTAATTTTGAATGAACCAATCTGTAGATTCTTTCACGGCTTATGAGAAAAAAGGATTAGGTTAGCTCAAATTTTTAATGCATTGTTTAAGGCATGTAAAAAGAGTGGTTTAACCTACCAACTTCAAAAGGTGTGAATTGGAAATCAGGAAGATATTTCATTAATTTTGCGTTGCTAGCTGTCTTTTTATATTGTCCATCGGACTTGGAAGTATCAAACTGAAAAAAATAATGAATCGTATTAATAGAATCAAAAGAACTATAAACCAAATTGAAGAAATTTCTTAGGTAACTTACGCTATATTCCCCTTCAAAGCCAACAGCTTTTACAATGGCATCGGCTACATCTTTAATGCATACTTCATCTTTTTCACCAACTAAAAAAGCAATAATTTAGATTTCAAATGGTAATTGTAGTTTATTCATGATATCCTTTTAAAATACCTGATAAAATAATAGGATCAATTTCTTTATATTCCCTCAATACCCAGATAAATAATTTTGCCAAATCACGTGAATAAATGAACTGGCGTAGAGGTTTACCAGTTCCAGCGACAACAAAAGGTGTTCCGTTTTCTTAAATGGAAATTATTATTAAAGGACTTTTTATTTTTTTTTTTTTTTAAAAAAAAAAAAAATGAGCGTTATAACAAAACTTACTTTTAGCAAGATAACATTTATGAATCAACCCAGGAATCACATGGGAATCTTGTAAATCATAATTATCATGAGGACCAAATACATTTGTTGGAATAACTGAAGTGAAGTTATCACCAAATTGATCATTATATGCTCTATAAAGCAGATTTTTTAGTCTTAGGATACGGGATCATATTAACAAACATCTTAACCTTACTTATTTTGGGAATCTATTAATCTCTTTGCGTACGCGTAACCAAAATTGGACTCATGTGGAGGTCCATTATGAATCATCGTCTCGTCGATTGGGTATGTTGTTTTGTCGGGAAAGATGCACGTAGAAAGGCACGAAACAACTTTCTCAACCTATAAAATGTACATGTTTTTTTTTAAATAATAGCATCAAAAATTGGTTTATTTAAATACTTACTTTATGTTCATGAGCAGTATGCAAAACGTTATCATTGATTAATAAATTATCTCTTAAAAAATCCAATTTATATTTTATATTTTTGAAAAGACCACCAACGAGAGCTGCCAAATGTATCACTTGCGTTGGCTTATATTTTTCAAAGATAGCACGCGTGGCTTCTATAGACCTAAAAAAGCAAGAATTGATCTTTAAATTGAATGAAAAAATAAATTTAAATCAAAAATAATAAGCGAGTATTTTAGGAAATTACCTCACCTCAAATCACCATCTTTACTTGTGAGGAAAACCCATTTTTCACCTTCACCTTTACCATATTTTCCTTTATCATTTTCAATGACCCACTCGATTGCCTTTCCTACAAGGCCAGAGCCACCGGTAACTAAAATTACTTTCTCGTGTGTCATTGAAAATAATTTATAAAACTAAGAGAATGTTAAATATGAATTAAAAAAATTCTAAAAAAAAAAGAACCCCGAATTCTTTTATTTATACTTTTATCATTGGTCAACAAGCTTTGCCTAAAAAAATGACATTTATGTTCCACAAAAAAAATATGTAACATAAATATGGATCGTTGGGTTATTTGGCTTTGAAATCTTTGGTTACATGTGAATCATTTTACATTTTTCGCTTTATTTGCTATTCAAGGAAACAAAAGATCATTTCTCTGATAGAACTTTGAAGTCGCAAATTCTGAGCTTCCGCCTTGCTTGGTTGGTTTTCTTGTTATACCTCCAACTAGCCTTAGTTACAGTTTTCGTCAATTTTAAACAAAACTTTTTCAAGATTTATTTAAATACATTATGAGTGATACTACCGATATGAGCGTTTTCGTTGCCTTATTAATGAGGGTAGCAAGAGCTTTTTTCCAAACGGCACATATTGTAGTGTTGGATCAACTTACTAAACATGAAGCAATCAGCGACGAAAACTTGGCAAAGGGCGTTGGTCTTAACGTTAAAGAGATCCACAAGCTTTGCGGTACTCTGAAAGAAGCGCGCCTCATAAAAACGTTCTCAAAAACAGAATCAAAGAAAGCAGAACAGCGGGCAATGCCAAGAACCTATTATTACGTTGACTGGCAACAAGTAGTTAATTTATTTTAGGTTATTGCGAATTCTCAAAACAATCTGATCAATTCTCTTTTTATCAGGTCGTCAATGTTATAAAATGGAAAATTTTTAAAATCAGGGAGATGGTTGGAGATCGAATGCGAAGTGTATGGATTTACTTTCGTATTGAATTTATAAATTCCTTTATAAAATTTATTAAAAAAAAATTTTTTTTTCCCCTAAAGGAACAAGAAAATAAGGGATATTTATGCCCAGGTTGTAAAAAAGTTTTTGCACCTCTTGATGTTCATAACCTCTTTGAACCTCTTCGTGATGCATTTGTATGTGACTTATGTCACTCTGAATTGGATCATAACGACAATGCTGAAAATGTAAAAGGATCCGAGAAACTTCATGGAAGGTAATGAATGTTTAAGAATAATTTGTTTTTATCAATTAATTAAAGATTTTTACTTTCTGATGTAATTTGTAAAAAATTTTAGGTTCATGGAGCAAAGTCAGCCGATAATTGATTTATTGAAATCTATTGATAAATTACGAATCCCTGTGTATGTTGTATTTATTTACATATTTACATCGAACATTGTTTGAATTTTATTTATCATTATTTGTATAAAAGTTCTTCAGTTGAGAAGTTTCAACATGGGTCAGGTGCAAAGAATGGCCAATCAGGTTCTACACGTATGTAATAATTCCTTATTAGTTTATTTCTTTTATCATATAAATATATATATATATATATATATATATTTATATTTATATTTATGTTTATATTTATATTTATATTTAGAGGAACAAGATGTACAATTTGCCCAAGATACTAATCTCCAATCGGAAGGGCTTGTCATTGTGTTTCAAGATGATAATGAAACTTCAAAGATGGAACGACAGGCAGAACTTGAAAAGAAACGGCAAGTATTCCCCAAATATTTACATTTTAATAGCGTTCATTTGGAAAATCTATTGATTTCTACTTTTTATATAGGCAACAAAATGCATTACCTGCTTGGCACGTACGTAGTACAGTATCGGGTGATGTGATGGTTGCAAATGCCTGGAGTCAAGGTGCAGCAAAAGAAATTGAAGAACAAAAAGTAGAAAACGTTAGAGTTAATGAGAAAGGTGATGAAGGGCATAATCGATATTTAGACGAGTATTATGCTAACCTTTATCAAGATACCGATACGTCTCCAATGGTAGAGGAAGATGATGAATTTGAAGAGGTAGAAGTGGAAGAAAATGAAGAGGTTTTCGAAGGAGATTTCGAAGAAGTCGAAATTGATACCTATAACGGCCATACTTATGCCGAAGATGATGATGATTTTGAGATAGTCGAAGATTCACATCGATATACCAAACGACAGAGAACCGAACCTCACAATGATGATTATGGAAAGTATCGTGGAAATGGCAATAGGAAATCCATTGGTACTCATTATTAAGATTAGAGTGTTATTGAAGTAAAATTTATTATGATTATACTGTATTGATATGATCATTTGAGAACAATAATTAGAGCTTTAGAATTCTACCCTATTTGTGTTAAATGGAATAATCATCTTTACATTTTTTTTTTTTACCTTTTTTTTTTTTTAAAAAAAAAAATTATACCTTTATTTAAGAGCGAGATATATAGATTTATACGTGTTTGCTTTGTTGGCTGGTTTGATATACACTTATTCAGATTATTTTTTTATTTTTATAAATCAAAAATTTCAATAATAAATAAAGAAGTATATGAATAATATCAAAGTTTTACATCTTGTAAGGTAAAGTACTAATCAAACAAATATTAATAAAATATTAAAGATGAAATTTGAATGTAATATAATAAACGATTCCAGTTATAAATTCAAATCTTTTTTAAGTTCTTCGGCATCTAAATTGAAACAAAAAAAAATAAGTGTTTATTAGGTTGTTATTAAACAACAATATTAACATAATAAATTTAAGTCAAGTTTATCACCTTCACTAGAAGCTCTGTGAACATCGTATCTTCCAGGTCTTACCGGAGAAGCTGATGTAACGGATGCAGAATTATTATTATTTTTATTATTATTATTATTATTATTATTATTACTATTACTATTATTATTTGGAAATTCGGGATCATCATTTATTTTATATGGAGAATCTGCAGAACCAGAATCATATTCTCTTATAATTTTGATTTGATTATTATTGGTCGAAGAACTGAATACATCATCAGTATCTTTGTTAACATCAATACCATATGATCCATAGACTGGTTGAGATGTCAAAGGTGACATTCGAGTATTAGACGTATTAGAAGAAATACGAGAGTTCGTGTATTGCCGACTAACATTACTTTGTCGTGTTGGTTGTTGTATAGGAGAAAAATCTTCACCAATTAAGGGATTATCAGCTTCATAACCAGGTAAATTTGTATATTGAGGAGTCGATTGTTGAGTTGATTCACTCCTTGCTACTGATTGTTGTTTAAATTTATCGTACCACTCTTTAACTTTCTTTTTCGTTGCTAAAAAAAAAAAAGGAAATTTAATTTTATACGAATTATCTTTTCCAAAATTTTTTATTAATCAATTGAAAGTAAAAAAACTCACTATCAGCAGCTTGCACAATTTTTTCTTTGATCACAGGTAATTCTTCTAAAATATGAGGAATAATTTGAATAAATAAATAAATAAAATATATAGTTATCTTTAATAATTACCTGAAAAATCGGGGAAAGGTGATTGTGATTGCTGTTGTTCCTGTTCCCGTTCCTGTTGCTGTTGCTGTTGCTGTTGTTGATTTTGAGCATAATATTCTCCTAAAAATAAAAATTAAAACAAAAAAAAAATTAAAAAAAAATAATTTAAAATTAAAATATTTTTCGAAAAATATTTTTTACTTATAAACTCACTATCTGCTTCAGCCGCTAAACTTCTAGCTAATTCTTCGTCACGCGCAATCTGTTCTTTGGAACTTGAAGTTAATAGCCCAGACTATACATTTTAAATGTGAAAGTTAATTTCAAATTTACAAGGAAAAAATATAAACTAATTCGTAGGTTATAATATACATACTTCAGTTTGAACTGGAATCATTTCTTCACTTTCATAATTTGGGTCAGAAATACCCAAAAGAATATTTAAGCTTTGTTCTAAACTTCCTTGATTAGCTTCTAATACAGCCTCGCATACTTCGGGATCTACGGAAGGGAACATTCCCTTCAAAGTATTTAACGCTTCATTTCTTTGAGCTGCCATAGTTTCATTGTTTTTTGAAAGTTTGTAAAACAAAAAAAAAATCGGGATATGGCAAATTTATATAGAAATTGAAATGTCCGAAAATCTAATGGTAATCGGTTTTTTTGCCGGAATAATTTGGTTTTATAGCATGACGTATTTCTTGGCATTGTTGTTCTCTCGATTTTTTTTTATTTTATTTATTTTATTTTTTTTTAAAGATGAATTTAGTTGAAGAAACGAATTTTGCTACAAATTTCCTTAGCACTTTATCTTCACGTACTGTGAAATATCCTCAAGACTTTGCTCCTCCCCCTCAAACGCGCCAAAAACCAGTAAGTTGAATAAAAAGCCAAGTTTGTATTTGCTTGGCTTACAATTTTTTTTTTTCTCTTAACCTAATCGGATATTTATTTTTAGACGCAAAATGTATTATTGTCAAACAAAAGCAGAAAGTCAACAGGAAAACCAAGCCTTCAAGAAGGTTCACAAAATGTTGAGCCTGTTCAAGGTATGAATTAAATAACATTAACATTTTTTTGAATCTCGCGTTTTATTATTATAATTATTATTCCTTTAGGAGTCCCAATTCAAGTAAAAATCAAATCATTAAAAGGAGGTCAAACGTATACAATTCAATTAAATAATTCTGATACAATTCTTAATCTTAAAGAGAAATTACAACCACTTGCTTCAACTTCTGTTATTAATCAAAGATTGATATTAAAAGGGAAAGCTTTGGTTGATACTAAAACTTTATATGAATATGGTATTAATAATGATACTACAGTACATTTAGTTCAAAAATCTGGTACTTCCTCAATTAGTTCAATTACTTCTGATGCAATACCTATTCTTACACCTTCTTCAAGTACCGCTCAAGAACTTCCTAAAGATCAAAAACTTTCTACTGCTGCTACGGAAAAATTGAAAGATCCTCGTTTTTGGCATACTTTACGTAATTTTCTTCAAGATCAATTTTCTCAAAATGATGCTGATCATGTTTTTAAAGATTTTTTAAGTATTTATAAAGAATTTAATGTTGAAGATTTTGATAAATTTATAAAAACTGCAGAGTAAGTTAATAATTAGTGGGATGACAATTAAAATAAATTATCTATATTTTTTGATATCATCCTGTGAAACTGTGGATATTAGTAACAACTTACATTTTTTTTTTTTTTAAAAAAAAAAAAGATCCATTTAAAAAAATTTTTCCTATCAAAACTTATAATCAATAAATAAATAAATACATTTTATATATATAAATACAATGAAATTTATAGACCTTGAAAAAAAAAAAAAAAAAATCTAAAATTACAAGTTAAATAAGTTAAATAAAAATCTTTAAATTCATAAGGCAAACGTTAATTTACACTATAAACAAAACAAAACAAAAAAAAAAACCTGAGGAAGTAAATCGTATCATATCATGTCTAATGTCTTCAATATACTCGTTACCTCTCGTTACTCGTGACATTTTTTATAATTTATTATTATTATTATTATTCCTTTTTTTTTATATTATTTTTTAATTACTGAGGTTGTAAATATTTACGTTTTTATTATTATATATTTTTTTTTTTAAAAAAAAAAAATTTTTGATTAAATTAATACTTTATTAAAGGAATTTGCAAAAATATGAAAAATTAATTATACCTAGGGAATTTGCAGAGCATTAAATCTAAAATTTTTTAAGGGTGAAAAAGATAAAAACATAGGGTGGATTTGTAACAGAAGTTTTAAAAATAAAAATAAACAACAATGAATAAAAATAAAACATTACTTACAACTTTGTCCTTGCCTTTATTTTTTCCTGTTGAACTTTCCACCCAATTACGCTGTTCTACAAGCGGCTCCCTCCGTCGTTCTGTTTGACAAACCGTACATGATTCTGGTTCACTCTCCGTAGAATAGTTTGATTCGGTTTCGAGACATCTACGATGGTAACCGTGGCCGCAACGGAATAGTAATAGGTCGTTTTCTTGAATCGTTGACGACGTTGGCAAAGATTGAGGAGAAGGTGGTAATGGAGGAAGTGGTTTGATTGATGTCGAAGCTTCATCAGACTGATCAGTTCCTTCAAGTAATTCAAGGGTCGGTAAGGCATCTGCAGAATTGGCAGGGTTGGATATAGTGGATGAATGGGGCGTTTTCTTTTCAGGTGAACCCCAACCAGATGGAGCACGGAGGGTCAATGGGTTGTTAAGTTCCGTTCCCCAGAATTGACCCCCACACACTTCACATGCCCCCCTACGTGGACGCCAGCCTTTACCACGCTGTCTAACAACACCTGCTACACCCATGAACAAGTCCTTTTCAAACAGTCGGTTGGTCATAGCCAGCAACTGACCTTCATATTTATATGTATCAATCATCCCCACGAAAATGTCTCTAAAGTCCGAAACGGTACTATTCTTTTTGGCTTCCGACATAAATCTAAGCAATAGTCTCGGCAATGAAACGTAAGGTGAAGATGTGGACAACAATAAGGATCTCATAATAGACTGAACGTATGATTTAAAAGTTGTGATTAGATGATTTGCAATATGTGGTGGTATAGGTGATTTCGGCACTTCGAATGAGGAAATTTGCCCATTGGCTAAAAGTCTTTCTGACATCATTGGAGGTATTGGTGGTATAACACTCGATGACACAGCTTTGGTAGCATTCAAAAATGCATCAAGAAGTTTATACCATAATAATTCGGTTTCACTTTCTGTAGCACGGTTCATTTGAGGCACAGAAACAACACCAGCCGAGCCCTTGGCTAAAGTTGCTCGTCGACAACTATTTTCACATAAAAGAATGCCAATCTTGAGTACACCTTTTAACTTCATTAAAGATGTCTCTATTTTAGTTTTTTCTAGCAATGTCCATCGATCGTTTGTGTCATTTTTTTTCTCATCAATCAATGCAAGAATTTCCTCCGTTTTTTCTTGAATAATATCTAAGACCTTGTCAAGTGCACCCATGGCATTGCCACTTTTTTCTAAAATCCAAACCACTGCGTCTACAATACCAGTGGCTTCACAAATAGGTAATACATATTCTATTCGATAAGTTTCTTGATGAGTCTGCAAATAATGGTATACCCCTGTAGGATCAAATTGGCACATCAATGCAATATACTGTTCATGAATTTCTGGATCTATATGCAAGGACTCCGATTGTGCTTCAGACATGATCACTTGTTCCTCAACATTTCGAACTCTGATAAGTTCGCCTGTTATATTTTCTTGAGAAGGTTCCAAAAGTCCCCTCAAATAAGTAAATAAACGTGCAGGAGATGTTATCAAATTCGAGATTACAGTTCGATGATCACTGTTAAAATATGCTTTAATTATTGCGGCAGTCTGTTCGCCATCAATATCAACAATGTCTTTAATTTTCTCTATAATTTTTTGTGTAACCTTTTCTCGTTGCTCCTCTGTAAGCTTACTTTTTGTATTTAATAAGCTACGTATACAATCAAAGACTTCTTTTCTTCGTTCAGGATCTTTCAAATAAGTTGTCACCAATAAATCATATTTTTTATCCGCCTTGTATACATGTTCCAACACTCTCCAAAAACCAGCATTTTCATATCTTTGAACCATCTGATTTTCATCTGATGGGGTATATATAGACAACAAACATTCAACTGAAAGCTGTCGCTCTTCACGAGTCTGAGGATCGTTATCGGTACTGAGTTCGACCAGCATTTTATGTATTACGGAAGGAGATAATAACAGGAATTGTGGATATTTGGGTAAATTTCGTGCTACAAAACTATATAAATAGGAAATATCTTTCTGAGAAAATTCTGAGATATCAGAAGAACCTGTCATTACTTCTAACAGGATATTCACTAATAATTGACGATTGATAATTTTCCCAGGTAATTCTTCCTCCTCAAAATATTCGTCTCCATTCATAATTATTTCGACCCCATTTAAATAAGAATCTTCAAAAGCAACTTCTAAAGCTTGCAAAAAAGCTTTTGCATCAAATCTTAAAAATATTCTAAGATAGGGATAAGTAGGTTCTGGTCCTTTTATCTCATCCTCAGCTGTTAAAATTAATTCTCCACCATGCCTGGGCCATACAACACAACGACCCGAAAATACAAATGAATATAATGTTGTTCGGGCTTCATTAGCCTCCGCTTCAGTAAGTGGTGCACCATTGGGATATGTGTGACCAGTAAGTATATTTTTCATATAGGTATAGAATTTGCGGGCATTTGTTTTCATTGTCTCCAAATCTTCACCCGCTTCAAGCACATTAGCATCAATCGATATGGATGATCTTGATGATCTTGACGGAGTAGATCGATGCTTCCTTTTCTTACGTTTTTCCGATATCAAGATTTTTCTGATTACTTTAAGAAGCTCGACAGCCGGATTAACGTAATCGACCATAGATCGATTCCAGACATAAATCATCGCATCATAAAGTCCTTCACTTTGACATAGTTGAACCACTTGATCAATGTCGATGCATTGAGGATTAATGTGCCATATGCATTTTTCGACTTTTACAAGCATACGACGATTCCTATAATGATCAACCAGATCTTTCATTATTTCTGGTGGTAAGTCCTTTATTTTATCTTCAAGTATGTGTGATCCTATAACTTCGAGGAGTATTCCTTTAGCGAAAGCATCAGAATATCGTTCATAAACTTCGCTAAATAGGAAATCCTCTCTGTGCATACTAAGACAAGCCTCAATACACGCAATAGCTAAATCATGGAACAAAACTGTACCACTACCATTATGTTCATCAACCATACCCTGGAATGTACGTTCACTTGAGAATGCATAATTTATTGAAGCATTCAAAAGATCCATGAGTTTTTCGCCTACAATAGCATGACGACTCTCTTCATCATCTGGTAGACCAAGAATTGTTTGAGATGATGTTTTATTATAAAAAGATGTGGCTAAAGCTATAGCTTCAAGGAAATCACCAGATTGCACAAGTGCAAGTATACGATCAGCCCATGATAAGAGTGTCCCAACATAAAGTTGTCTCACACCCTGTAATTAATAAGGTCAATATAAATTCAGAAAAAAAATTTTTTTATTGATAATAGTGGGAATAAATAAATAATTTAATGCATACCAAAAGAAATACGTTTCCTTTATATACGCGCATACTATGGTAGTAAGCCAATTCAAACGTTGGTCTTGACATATCTGCTTGCGCGTTTGGGTCATATGTAACATCCTTAAAAAGCGAAGAGTACCTATCATGATATACTAATGACCTTTGACGAATATTACTTTGCTCAAATTCCTGCAAAAATTTTGGATCAAATACGATAATATCTTCGGTATTTGTCAAAATCAACAATATCTGTAATACCACATTTGGTTACGTAGGAATATAAAATCCAATCGAATGATCAACATGCGACATGCTGCCTTTTATGGATAATTAAACAGAAATCAACTAATGATTAAAGTCACCTGCGGGGATAGCCATTGTAGTCCAACTATGCTATTCATCGATTTCCAATCGCCAACCTTGGTGTATTCGAGCTTGATATCGCGTTCAGACCGTCTTCTCCTTGTTGGTGGGAGTTCAGAAGTAACGGAAAGCGAGACAGTAACTTTTAAAATCGTCAAGTGATTACCCCACGAAAATGCAAGTAGGGGATCGGAATGCTCGATTGGTGCGTCTTATATATTTTTTTTTTTAAAAAAATAAAATAAAATAAAAAAAAATTCCCATTATGTATAATATATACGTAAATATTACAGTAATTCTAAATAAGTCAAATAAAGTTGGATTTACCATTATTTAGTTGAAATTTAGCAGCAGGATACCATGCCAAACATCCAGCAATTGATTTGGATGAAGAATCAACTGAAACATTTTTAGGTTTTAAATATTTATACTGGGTTTGAGCTGTTGGTTTAGTACTAACAATAATCATCTATTTACAATAACAAACCGAAAATAATTAACATTAAATTAATAACAAGAAATTTTAATATAAATGGTTCAATAAAATGAATACTTTATAAGGCGTAAGCATCGCGACAAGTCCAAAACCTTCAGATCCATGGGGTGATTGCCCGAGAGGCAAAGGTGCTAACCCGAATACCGTACTTGGTCTCCTTTGTTTAGAAGCAGTTGTATCAGAAATGGATGTAAAAGCAGGATATCTTCCAAGTATACGTGTGGTTTCTGTAGCATTAACCAACATGATTTTGTATAGATTGTGATAAAATGCCATTCCCTTTTTAAGGAATTATTTTTTTTTTGAAAGAAATTTTTTCAAAAAAAAGCAAAAAAATAATTAGAATATTATGATTCCAAATCTTAAAAAAAAAAAAATCAGTTCGATCCTCATTCCATAAACTATTTAACATAAATATATGACTAGAAATTCCTTTTTTTACTCAACAGAAACATACATTATCGTCTCCGGAAACTATTCCATTTTTTCTTACACCGACAAATCCAACATGTAAAATTGATGAACCACGAATATGTCCTTCTTTTCTGCCACCTGCAGCAACAGCTGAAGATATAGGTAATATAGATCGCACAGGACTTATAGGTCTTTGTAAATCCCATATAAATATATGTCCCTGTGCATGTCCACTGACAATTTGAGTGTGGTCAGAAGAAATAGCGAGTGAAGTAACCGCACCATGCTCAAGAGCTAACGATTAAAAATAATGATTTAAAAATTTTTTTAAAAATATAAATATATATATTTATATATATTTATATATTTTGGTAATGAAAATTCTCGATACATTACCGTTCACTGTACTTCCAAGAGTGCATTTTAAGGATAGCGAAAAATCATATACTAAAATTAAACCACGAGTAGTTCCAACTGCGATGACTCCACTAACCTGTAAAATAAATTAAAAAATTTTTTAACAATGGTTCAAAGAAGGTTATAAAATTGATGATGAGAGAAATGCTTACGGCAAGCACTGTAGCCAAACCTTCACTCTGCCTTGTATCTGAGGAGTACAAATGCTCTGATATTTTTGACAAAGGTGTCCATCGAAAGGCCTCCCATGGTTCAGGTGGGGCAAGCAATCCCAAGTCCTCAAGACCCATTACTGAAGGAGACGATGAGCGTGATAATCGAGATGACGCCTTAGATTGCATTGAAGGATTTGATGCAGACGATGCAGAACGTAATCGTGCTAAACTAGGCTCAAGAGCTCTTAAAGAACTTGGGGAAAGTGGGGTCGTTGATGTAGTTGTCACAGACCTGCGAGATATGTCTGATAACGAATCCTATAAAAATTTGTTAGTTAGAATAAGAATTCTCAAAACAAATGTAATATATTAAAAATACCTGAATTTCAGATTCAGTATCTAAAGTTTCCGAATCTATGAAATCATCCTCACTAGAACCTTCTGATTCATTCAAAATTCTATCTAAGCTAAGATGTTGTGCTAAAACAAATCAAAATATTTGTCAATATTGAAGACGAATATTAAATATAATTTTAAAAAAAAATAATAATAACCTCTATTTACGAATTCATCATACAAAGCAGCTTCTTTCATGACCCGTTCCAGCAGATCGGCGACTTTCTTTCTTCGTTGTGTACCCAAAGTTGATGGATCAGCCAATGGTCCACCTTGTAAATGTATTTGAAGATCTTCTTGAAGTTTATATAATTCAGTAAGTACAGATTTTATCGTACTTTCCGGAGTAATTGGGAGATCCAGCTCCGATATTCGAAGTTTATTAAAGCAAGTTTCGATATCAACCAATGAAGAAACACCGTTCACTGATAGCATGAAACAAGAAATCAGTTGTATTGATCAATGGCAATTGTTAAGAATAATTGTTAAACAATTCCTTACCAAGACGCGATATCGATCCCTCTGCTACTTTTGGTTGCGGTTGAACGTCCTGTATATCGGTAGTCGGAGTAGATGGCTCATCATTACTATTTGAGATTCGGAATTAAATTTATCATAAAGACAAATCAGTAAACAAACTTGTTAAATGTTCGAAACCATTTGCGTTTACCACAAAAGAAAAAAAAGAAAAGAAATCAGTTCTTATTGATCAAAATTTTCTCACCTTCCATCAGAATCTTCGTCGTCGTCTCCGCTGTTCCCACTTGTCAGCCCACTATTATCATGTAAGAGCTCAAGTGCCCTTTTCATTGCGTCAGTCAAACCCGCAGCTTTCCATGCCTCTTTAAGATTACATAAATACTTTTCTGTTTGAGCTGTATCTTCCAAAGCAGCTTCAAGTTCTGGTGGTAATGGCACTTCCGGAATACTATTAGACAATGGAAAATGCTTAGAAAAGTCATCGTCCGCGTCTGATTCCAGTATGCGTTTTAACAAACCGTCATATATTTCGGTTTCAAATGTTGTGGGTGTCATTACTCATGTAAACCTTGGGATGACTAAACTACATACAATAACTATAACTATAACACTCTCTTTTTTAAAGTTTAGCGTTATCAACGTTCGAGTTGAAAAATAATGGGTTTTTATACTAACCGACAATCACCTTCTATAAAAAATCGGAAATTTTGATATCGACCGGAAATTTTTTTATATTAAATAACAGAATTTTACATTAGAATTCCGGAAATTTACCGGAAATTTCGAATAAATTTCAGCCCTCCGGTCACAGGTCACATGTCATTCGATCATTTTGTAGTAATATATAGTAAATCAATCAACCTGAAAATTACTAAATTTGTTCGTATATAAAACAATAGAAAATTTTTTGTATAAAATGTGATATGTAAGACGATCGTGTGTGTGTAACATCAAAAATTCAAAAAAAAAAACGCGTTTGGGTAATCTATACAAAAAAAATGTTTAGTCACCACCAAAGAAATGTTAAATGGAATAACTTAATTCTTTATCGAACATCTGATAAACAATTTTCGTTTAAATTATACCGAAACATATCTACTGATAACATTCGTCGGCGAATGTTAATCTGGGAAACTGAAAAGAAAAGAAAAGATCATTTAAATGTACAATCGCAAAATGCCATTAATATTACTTTAAAGGATGGAACTGTGAAAAAAGGCATCTCGGGCATTGTGACGCCATTAGAATGTGCGAAAAGTGAGTTTAATAGTTTTTGTCTATTTTTATTATACCTTAATAACTTCTTCTTTTTTATTAGGTATTTCACTTAAGCTTGCTAATGATTCTATCTTGGCGCTTATTAATTCTCGTGAACTTTATGATATGAATCGGCCTATTACCGATTCATGTACTTTACAATTTATCCCTTCTAAAATGAACGATTCTACAACCAAGGAAGTATTTTGGCATTCAACTTCTCACTTGTTAGGCCTAGCTCTTGAAACAAAATACGGTGACGATATCTTATTATGTGATGGGCCTTCACTCAAGCAAGGTGGATTTTTCTATGAATTTCTACTGAAAAAGCATACTGATCAACTGGATAATGGACTCGGAAATATATCGAAAATGGATAAATTACACGAAATAATTGCTCAACTCATCAGATCACCAAAATTTAGAAGAGACCCTTTCAGTTTAGAAGAATTGCAAGAAATTTTGAAAATTATGTATGAATGTGCTTCAAAAAAATACCCATTCGAACGTCTGGTTGTTTCGAAAGACGTAGCTTATGATATTTTTGCTAATAATCCATTCAAGTTATATTACTTATCAAAAATACCAGATAATGAGCAAATTGCACTTTATAAATGTGGATCATTTATTGACCTTTGTCGTGGACCTCATATTTCACACACTGGACATATCAGAGCGATAGATTTGTTAAAATGCGCAAACGCTTACTGGACACCTGATCTTGATAATGACAAAAGTTCTCCACAATCAATTGTTCGTATTTATGGGATTTCATTTCCTAATGCTCAAGAACTTAAAGCCTGGAATCAAGAACAAGAGTTGGCACAAAAACGTGATCACAGGATTATAGCAAAGTCTCAGCGACTTTTTATGACCCATCCTTTGAGTCCAGGGTCGGCTTTTATGCTTCCACACGGTACTCGTATTTTTCAAAAATTACAAAATTATATTCGCATAAAATATAAAGAATTTGGTTACGAAGAAGTTATGACCCCAATGATTTTCAAAAAGGAATTATGGGAAACGTCTGGACATTGGCAGAATTATCGAACAGAAATGTTTGCTGTACAACATAATTCTAATCAAAATGATAATGATATTTATGGATTAAAACCAATGAATTGTCCCGGACATTGTTTGATCTTTGATAGTGCACCAAAATCATATCGTGATTTACCATTGAGATTAGCGGATTTTGGGTCGTTACATAGGTATATACTTTAGTATATATGTTTTATTTATTAATCATATCTTACATAACTGATGAGTTTCCTTTGATATCACAAGATTATATGATGAAGCAGTGTGCTAATAATTTAAAATAAAAATACAGAAATGAAACGTCGGGTGCACTGACTGGACTCACTCGAGTTCGTCAATTCCATCAAGATGATGCTCACATCTTTTGTAGGGAATCTCAGATTTTTGAAGAAATATCTGCTACTCTGTCATTTATTGACATCGTTTATAAAGATCTAAGATTTCCTCATTATGAAATATTGTTGTCAACGAGACCAGAAAAAAATTTTATTGGAGAAATCAAAGAATGGGATCACGCCGAAGATGCACTCAAAAAGGCGTTAAATGCGACTGGAAGAAAATGGTCCACCAATTTTGGAGATGCTGCTTTTTATGGGCCAAAAATAGATATTAAGGTTGAAGATGCTCTTCATCGCATGCATCAAACAGCAACCGTTCAACTTGATTTTCAACTTCCTCAGAGGTTTCGACTGAAATATTGTGATGAAAATGGTGAAAACAAAACTCCAATTATTATTCATCGTGCAATTTTGGGATCGGTCGAACGTATTATGGCTATCTTAACCGAACATACGGGTGGCAAATGGCCTTTCTGGCTAAGTCCGAGGCAAGCGATTATTCTTCCAATTGGAGGATCAAAATTCATTGATTATGCGGAACATGTCTGCAATTCTTTAAAATCTGGAAATCTCCAACATAATTACTTTGTAGATGTGGATCGTTCAGAAAATTCATTAAATAAAATGATTAAAACTGCTCAGTTATCGCAATACAATTTCATATTAGTAATTGGAGAAAAAGAGAGAGACACACAAACTTTGAATGTTCGACGAGATGGCGAATTATTGGGTAACATGTCAATAGACGAACTGTTGAAGCATTTCAATGATTCACACAACAGTCGTTTATGATTGATTTTTTTTTTTAAAAAAAAAAAAATTTATATTGCTATTCAGAATTTAAATTAATTTTTGAATAAACAGCGAACATATTAAAATGAGTTATAGGTAAAGATGATAAATATTGTTTGACTAAGCTATTAAATATTTAAGTAACTTGTAAGAGACAATGTGTGAATGAAAAAGATACATAAATTGAAGCTTTTTTGGATATTACACAAGACCACTGCAGATTTATTATTGGCTAACTGCACGAATTGCTGCGAAAAAAAAAATTTTTGTTGCTAATAATCGTTGCACGAGACGTTATTGTGCCGACTTGCATAATAATTTTTATGTATTAATGTGCAAGGTCGATGAATTTTATTTGTTGAAGGAACAATTATTAAACAATAGTCAAAAGATAACAATAATATGCAAAGGTGTGTGAAATCTAAAGTAAAAAATTTATTTGTATTTAAAATACATTCAGCCATCGACAATTTAAGATTTACAATTGCATAACTATAGATTAATGGTATTTGATTTTTTTACGAACTACAACCCGCCTTATCATATAAACGCCGGTGAATATTCCGTAATGATCCTACTTAATTTATCTTTTAACGATATATTTTTAGTTAAGATATCTGTAAAAAAAAAGAATGGAAATAATTAAATCACATAAAATCTTTTTATAATCACGCCTATATTATGATTAATTAATAAAAAAAAATATACCTCTATATTATCACAATATAATAATTACATTTTCATTTATTATATTCTTTTCTTGATATATTTTTATAAAAATTAAAATTTCTTAAAAAAATTTCTTTTTTATAAATATATAATATATTATATGGCTCTGCTATTTATCATCACATGGTGATAAATTGTTATTAATTACCATATAATTCTAATAGTAAATAACTATTTATTATCAGATAACTTGTTTTATTTATTTTATTAGTTTATTAAATTTTTTAAATTTTACAATTAACTTTTTAAATGTGTACATTGATGAATCCCAATAAAAAATTTGATATAAAAATTAAGTTTTATAACGTATAATTTTATGGAAAATCAGTATAATATATACGTTTTTTCCTTAGGTAAAAACCTTAAACTTAATACAGAAAAGTGGGAAA